TGGCGCGGCCGAGCAGAGCCCGGCAATGGTGCGCGGTCCCCTGACGCCCGCAGCGCCCGCGCCGCCCGGCCGGGTCCGCGCGGAGCTCCTTCCATCCCTTCCGTCACCGTCGCGGCGGCCAGAGAGAGCCTCGGCCCGCTGGAGGGGAGCCCCCGAAGGGCCGAAGCTTCAGGCAGCCGGCGCCTGTCCCGCCGGGCTTTTGGGCTCTGTTGGTCCGTGCTCGCGTCGGGAGCGCGGTGACGAGGCCACGTGTGACACTCAGTCCGCGGCGCTCCATTCCCGTCTCGCCCGCGGACACCGGGGTTAAAACGTCAGAGCCCAAACTTCAGGTGGCACTAAGGGCTGCAGGTTAATTCTCTGTGTTACAGTCCTTAAAAACTGTCCAGGGCCAGTTCGCATGGCATGAAGTTTTACACCTTGATCACACACCGGGCGCAGAGGTGCCGGTGTGGTTTGGGTTCAGCATGAGAACTGCCAGTGTTTTTCCTGCCCCTGGCATCCTGGTGAGGGGCGTGAACCATCAAGGGTGAACCATCGATTTCTCTGTGCGTGGCTTGACGCTGGCCAGCGGCTTCACCATGGCTGCACCGCAGCCTGCAGAGGAATCTCGGCTCCAGTGCCTGGAGCACCTCCTGCCCCTCCTTCTCCACTGACCTTGGTGTTGCCATGTTGTTTTCCTTCACATGTTCTCACCTCCTCTTCTTTGACTAGGAGAAAAACTTGACTTTGATGTGATTTCCGTCTTAAATATGTCATCACAGAGCTGTTACTGTAGTAAACAGGGCCAGGAATCCAGCTCCTTTAAAAAGGCCTTTACTGAGAACAGCTCTTGGGTGGCGAACCTGAGGGGTTGCGCACACCGCCACTGCTCCCACAGGGCGACGCTGAGGAGGAGGAGGAGTGCAGCTTTGTCTCTAGGCAGAGCTGGGGCTTTCATCCTTACAAGAGTCCTTAGGAAGACCATGTTGGCTGGTAGTTTAGGGGTGTCATCCAGACTGAGTACTCTTTAAGTTATGGTAACAGGAAAGAATCTGGCTCTGGTAAATGGTGGGTGATTCCCTGTGGTGCTGCCAGTTTAAAACCATAGTTTATGTGCTGGTTTGTTGTTTTTGAGAGAGTCCATATTGTACCAACAGCCCCTCATTAAATTCAGTCCAGGTGCAAGTCCTTCTGGGAGCAGGAGAAGAAGAGGGAAAGGGATACAAATACAGGGTAAGACAGTAACACTTAACAGTGGCAACCAAAGGCAAATCTCAGAACTCTAACATCCAATATTCAACAACAGACCAACACTTCAAATTAAGATCCTATTAACTTCATCAACATTAACTAGCAATTGCCACTCTGAAAAAGAGCTCCCATCTCCAGTGTTTCATTTCTCACATTACCAGCCTCTCTCACTGGCCCGGTTTTGGCCAGCGAGCTTCCAGCAACTTCCCACAGCAGCCACCTCTGTGGCCCCCCTGCTACCAAAAACCAGGCTGTGCAAAACCAATACACTCTTCTTGTGCCCCAGACACCCCATGGGCAGTGAACCACCACAGTGCTAATTTCTGACCATGGGCTGGAGAAGCTCTGAGGGTATCTACAGGTAGGAGTGGGGCCAGCCGTGCCCACCTCTGTGTCCTCTCCACTATTTACCTTCTGGCATCACAGCTTCTGCTGTGGAGATGAAGTGTTTCTTAGTAAATGAAGCTCCCAATTTCAATACCGTATAGTTGGTAAGAAACAGATGTAGCTCTGCTGAAGACATTGAGAAGAAAAAAAAAAAAAAAAGGTGATGGATTTTTAAATTCATGTATACTAAAGAAACTGGGTTTTAGAAAATATCACCAGAAACTTAATTGTCTGTTATTTAATTCTAACAAGATCTTTCAGGGGAAATCTCTCAGTCAAAATCAAAATCAATCCTCTAGCTCCATCAACAAATGAACCTTAATATCAAGAATGCTTTCTGTATTTATGTTCCTCCTCTGACTACAATAAACTAACAGTTCTTAATACTATCTACAGTGTAATTACATATCAATATGTGGACAGCTAAAAGGCCTCATCTAGAATTCAAATGCTGGTCTAGAAAGAGGGGGGAGTTACTGATTTTTCTTCTCTCTAAAGTGGTTTTTGATCTTCTAAGTGACTACACTGTTTAGACCTAAAATTAGATGGAAGTACAGCATAGCTGTACTTCCATCTAATTTTAAAATGCCAGTGTCTATATTATCTGAACACTTTACAGAAATATTTCTATATTTTTTCCTCGTAGTATATGAGTAGGGAATTTATATTCTTGTTCTACGTGTAAAGGAGTGAATACAGAATGATTATGATCCAGATGCAGAAAGTATTTAGCACACACCTGCTCTACACATTATGGGTAACACTGAAATAGCTGAGATAAAAAGAAAAATTAACTTGGAGAGTTCAGTGCTGCTGGAATGCCTAATGTGGGACAGACAGAACTTTTAGGCATATAAATCCAATATTTTGATCCTTTTAAAAGCTCTGTCAGCTAGCGCTGAAGGAGCTGAAATTTCAGAAATGTGTGTTTGAAGCATTTGGGAGGGGTTTGGACTTTTGGTTCCGTGTTTGTGCTCCATGCTTGTGCACCTGCCCACAACTTTGTCTTGGCAAGAGGCAGGCAATGGTACACCACAGGCACACAGTCCAATTACTGTTCTCAGTGATCTCTCTCCTAGCTAGATTTAGACAATTCCCCAGTTATGCAGTCCTTCACCTGAACTGTAAGAGGAGACCAGGCCCTGAAGTTGTGCACTGTAAGTGTTGCCTGCTGCCTTTCTTGGACGTGGTCTCAAACGACTTGCCTAAAATCACATATGCTGCGTTCTGCCAAGCTCAAACCTGACCCTTCCACTGCATACCTCTGCTCTTACTGTGGAGCAGAAAGCCATCCACACTCACCAAGAGACGGGAATGACTGCTACAATATCCCATTATGCCAAATACTGTTATAGTTGGAAACAGAAATGATTTTGGTATTAAGCCTTTTCTTCTTGGAAACTAAAACAGTGGTTTTCAAAGCTGCTTTCTGATGCCAGGGAGCTTCATCACTTAATTCAAAGTTTAAAGTGTTTTGTTAATAAAGCTTAAAATATTCTTAAAAAGTGTGTGAAATCTCCTTTCTGGATCTGTAATTTTCTGCTCTTCTGTTATTTTCTACCACTTTTACAGGAGCCAAGTAGGAGGTCAGGGATCCCAACTTCACATAATGAGTTGTAAATGCATAGGTTGTTTGAGGGCATTATTTTAAAGCACAGAAAACTCACCACCTACATTTGGTAGGTACCACAGCTAGTTCTTCATTTAACCAATTAAAAATGAATAAAAGTAATTTTTGGTTGGTTTTTCTATCTCAGTGTGCTATTAAAAAACCTTTCTCTTTATTGTGAAACCAATCTGTCTCTTCAATAATAATCCAGTCAGAATTGCTGTTCAGACAAGTGACACTTGCTAAGGAAGAAAAACAGAATAGTTTCATTTGCCGTTTACCAATGGAAGCAAAGTATGCATCTGCGTCCTGTGCATGAGATGTGGGGCATAGAGAGACATTTGGGCTCACCACCTAATAAGTAGCATCTAGGACCCATTTTAGTTCAGTGATGTTGGAGGATTCGTTTAGTAATGGAACAATGGTGGCATCCTTCAAGAAAGTAGGACATAGGAGAAAATAACTCCAGGACAGCCATGAAAGAACTCCATGGCATAAGGAAGGATGTACACATGTAGGATCCATGCATGTTGTGAATGAATAAAGTGAGAATTTATCCTCTGTGTGAATCAATGATTCATTTGCTTGTTAAGATGCAAGATATGGACAGTCTTCATTTTATGTGAGGAGCTTTTAAGGATATTACTGTCTTGTTTAGTAAGATCAGTCAAAGAACAAAGAAGTTAAATAAGTGGATGAAAAATATAGGGAATTTAAGAAAATTGAATAATGCAATTGAAGGACTTCATGCTTTAATGTAGGTAGCTTTGAGTCTGATCCTACTCATTCATTAATGTTAGAGCTTCAGATATTTTCTTACATCAAATTTAAAACTTAACAAAATGCAAAAAAATAGGTAAAATAAATTAATACATTTGCTTTAAAAGCGTTACTATGATGGTTAATATATACAGAACATTTTAACATACTTTTAGGTTTTATCACAGCATCACCACATTAAAAAGTGGCAAGTAAAATTTTTTCAGTCTGAGGCTTTTTCATATCATTTTGACAAAAAACAAAATATTATATATTGAAACATACATAGCAAAGTGGTATAATTTCAATTTTTTAATCCAGCATTAGTATTTACAGTCAATTTAAAACTAATTCCCTGGTTTGGATTCCTAAGCTAAGGAACAAGAGCCAGAGGAATTTTTTTAACCTTAGGCTATAAATCTTCCTGGCTATTGACAATCACAAATGGAGAACATGTCAGAATCACATCATTCAGTGTGCCATGAGAAAAGGCAAAGAGGACACAATTTTAGAAAGCTGAGGAAAAGAAATATAAATCAACTTGATGAATTGACAAAGTTAGTGATCCTTAAGCAAGTCAAACAACACTTCCTCTATGGCTTGATACCCTAACCCGCACTCTGAGAGCCTTCTGAGCCTGATTCTAAAAGGGCAGTGAGGTGAACAAACACTGCAGATCCAAGTTTCTGATTCCAAAGAGTAAGGTAGTGTGAGTTCGTGTTTACTAGCCAAGTGTACAAAAGCTTGAAATTGCTCTCCTAAAGACACTTCTCTGCATACTTAATTAAAAATTTTTTGCGGAGTCTTAACTGTGCCTGTGAGCATTAAAGAAGTGTAAGAATTCTTGAACGGTAGTATGTTGCCGAGGCTTAAATTTGGAGCTGGAAGCTGTTTTTCCTTATATCTAAAGTGAGCCAGTTTGTAGTTAGGAGACGCCTTTGCCCGAGTCAGGCGGGAGCTGAGGAGGGGACATCAGGCCAGGGCAGCCCCCTTTCCCAGCCGGTGGACGCCAGGAATGGTGTCAGCCCCGCCGGGAGGTGGCCGGAGCGCGGCCCTGGCACGGAGCGGGGCCTGGCACGCAGCGCTCTCCGCAACCGTGCCGGGACGGAGCAGTCCGAGCACGGAGCGGGGCCTGGGCACGCAGCGCTCTCCGCAGCCGTGCCGGGACGGAGCAGTCCGAGCACGGAGCGGGGCCTGGGCACGCAGCGCTCTCCGAGCCCTGCCGGGGACGGGACAGAGCAGGCACGGAGCGGGGCCTGGGCACGCAGCGCTCTCCGCAGCCGTGCCGGGAATGGTGTCAGCCCCGCCGGGAGGTGGCCGGAGCGCGGCCCTGGCACGGAGCGGGGCCTGGGCACGGAGCGGGGCTTGGCACGCAGAGCTCTCCGCAGCCGTGCCGGGACGGAGCAGTCCGAGCACGGAGCGCGGCCTGGGCACGGAGCGCTCTCCGCAGCCGTGCCGGGACGGAGCAGTCCGAGCACGGAGCGGGGCCTGGCGCGGAGCGCTCTCCGCAGCCCTGCCGGGTGCAGGACGGAGCAGTCCGAGCACGGAGCGGGGCCTGGCGCGGAGCGCTCCCCGCAGCCGTGCCGTGTGCGGCACGGAGCGGTCCGGGCACGCTGCAGGCCCTGCTGCCGCCGCCCTCCGCCGAGTTCTCTGCCGCCGCCACGGCCGGGCCCCGCGCTCCTTACAAGGGCTCTCAGTCCGTGCTTGCAAGCGGCAGTGTCCCTCTGAGAGAGGGCAGAGCAGAAGAAATGTCATGCCTGTGTGGCGGCGCGGAGGAGGGCTTCTCTCCTGCACAAGAAAAGAGGACGAGCAGCGGTGAGACCTGAGAACGCCTCGCTCCCGGGTCAGCAGACGTGCCAGCTCCCGAGCCGCCAGCTGGGAAGGGACTGAGAAGGGGGATCAGATCTGGGGGTCTGCAACTCAGCACGTCCCGTGGATTTCCTTCAGGGATGGCGGGGACACAGCAGGCAGCTGGCAAGGAGGATCAGATACTCCGTCCTGCATTCACCTCTGCAGCTCCCAGTCACTCATCTCCTCATAGCTGCAGTAGTGTGTCATATACATTTGGGATCTTTTTTGACTGACTTGAAATAAATTGTACTGAAGTTAAGAGAATTACAGTACCCTCTCTGGACTGAAGTCTGCTCTCTGAATGTTTCTTTAACGCCTGACATCCTGACCATTTAAAAACCTTCTCATTTTTAAACCCCGTATCTGTCTCACAAAGAATTCTCCTGTGCTTTTCCCCATCCTTATTTATTAATTTTGTTCCCTTTCTTGAGTTCTCTCTTTGTGTTCAGCTATATCTCATTATTTTTGTGGCGTTTCTGAGATGATTTTTTCTGGGCAACCACTTGATTTGGAGAGGAAATGATCTCTTTGTAGGGCAGCATGTTTTATTCATGGATAAAGTGATTTGTGGTTTTATCCTTAAAAAGAAAGACGAATCAGTTATTCAACCTGCCAAGACAAAATGATGGTGACAGTTCGTCACTGTTAGGTAATCCATTCTTGCTTCAGCAGAGGCAGAAATTACTTCCATGCTGTTCCTTGAGTAAAGCATCACCTCATACTGAAGAAAATAACCAGATTCTGAATATATGTTTCTCATCTCAGTATTAGAGATAAGAAAATTAAAATACAGGGAGCTCGTGTAACTTATCTAAACTCCTAAAGCAAAACAAAGGATTTACTCCCCATTTATGCATAATCTAACTCTCCAAATTGAAAGTCCTTATTCCTGGTTTCAGCCATATTGCTATTTAGTATCCACACACATCTCTTTTACATGCTGCTCACATCCTACGCTGCTAGGTCCTGCTGCAGTTTGGGTGCGTTTGTGAGGTGTCAAATTTCAACACTGATTTTTTTCTAGGTATTCTAGCCCTTCTCCTGCCTTGACTTCTTAGAAACTTAGTGGCAATATATATCTCATTATTTGTCATTTAATCCCTCATTTTTCCTTGCAAACTGTTGGAAGCTGCTTGGCCAACCTTTATGAGCTTCCACACTGCCAGCTAGATGCTGTTTTACCAGTGCAAGCATTTGCTCTCATACTCAAGTCACAGGTTAGGAAAGTAGAGTCTGTGTCCAAAGAGTGGGGCATGTCTGGAGGAGCTGCAGTGAGCACAATCATTGCAGTAGTAAAGCACGTCAGTATTAATAGCAGCTGCCTCAGCTGTCTTTTTACTATACCAGAGCCACGAGCACAACACACATATGAAACAGCTCAGCTGGGAATCAAATGAAATTCATTAAAGGGACAAGAATGTCTTTACTATTTACCCTGCTACAAAATCCTGAATTTGGACGCTTGCTGGTTCTCTCAATACTAATCTACTGTTTGCTTCATTGAGTTCTTCAGCTTGGGGCCTCTTTGTGGAGGCAGAAATAGACTAGAAGAGCAGTAGTAGAACATGGACACTGCAATAGCAGGTACCCCTCAGCAAGTGCAAACCTTGCTCTGAGCCTGCTCCATGAGATAGCCTGGGGAGTTTCTCCACAGATGTTTTTTCTAGTGCAGCGTAAGTTGCACCCTCTGCTACCAGAAGTCTCAAATTTGCCCTCTTTGCTTGATCTTGGAAGAAAAATTTCAGAGGGGAGGAAGTTTTCTCGTGGATTGATAATGGAAACAGATGATTTTTACTCCTCTGGGGTGTCATTAGCTTTGATTTGGAATAGAAACTTCAGTAAATTGTTTACACATCTCCCTCACCTTGCTACATTCTTGGTAGTGTAGCTGCCAAATGACAGAAATTGTATTTCAGAACCACAAGCAGAAAATGCCTCATAATAGTCAAAACTGTGATTCTAATTACTGTGACATTGTTACACACTAGAGCTGTTATATAAGATTTAAAAAGAATATACAATACATCATTACAATCTGCATGAGTGAGTGTTAATGGACTGCAGTTCCAGAAAAAAGTTAATCAAAACAAGACAGTATTTTGCCTGCAAATAAAATTACTCCATCCATGGAAATTGTTCCTGTTAAAAGTCAGCAGCAGAAGGGTTCCTCTCACTTTGCTTAAAATCCATACAGTCTAGATGTCTATATACAAGCTATTATTCTCAGGTTCAGTTTATACGCAGTGGAGCAAATCATGCATTTGTGGGGTATGTCTCATCCTATAGAAGGTGTCCAAGGCATAAGCTGAATCACAACCAAATGCAACTCTTTCTTTCCATTAACTGTGAAGGGAATTGAGAAGAGTAACTCATCTGCAGATGTCTTCATTGACAATATCTGTGTTTAGTTAGATGAAATATCTCTAGAGGGGTATATCCTGTCCTTTCTTAAGCCTTGCTACAGCCCCTGAAAATGAGACAGAAGAAAGTGCTTTTAGGAGGTCTCTCTCTCTCTTAGGGAATAGGCTATTAAAGTTCTCAACACAATGCTCCTGAGCATCTTCTTTCTTCACACTGATGATGGTCTTCTTTTCTCAAAGAAAAGTGAGATTTGCCAGTTTTTATTAAGTGGTGAGTTAAAGAAATTATCATGCCCCTCAGTTTATGTGTATCTTCTGCAGTCACCAGACTTGTAAAAAGAGTGTTCTTGAAGAAAGTTTTTCACTGGCATGAAGATTCACCATGCTTTTCCTGTCAGGAATCTCTGGCAAATATATATTCTGAAAAAGATGATCAGCTAAAAAGAAAGCTATGGAGCCCTGCCTGGTGAAAAAGATCTTTTGTATCAGTCATAACCATGTTCCATTTGCAGAAAAATTGCAACCCACCACGTTAAAAAAAGATGGTGAAGATAATCTGCTTGGGTAAATTATGGCATCTTCAACAGTGAAGGGTATTAAGAACAGACAAAGTAGGAGTGATGAGGATGAATCTTAGGTTTCTATGACTGCCTATATTACTTGATTGAAAAGACAATAACTTACCTTCTAATATGGCAACAGTTGCTTTGCCTTTCACTGTTCACCTCTGCATTACCCATTTTGGATATTTGTAGTCTTGATACAACCATAAAATGCAAATTATAGCTTTATTATACTCAAGACAAGATACAAGAGGAAACGAGGAGAAACTGTATGTAATCAATTGAAAGCAAAACACTGAACAAACTACTTTATTTCACACTGAAAGCACATGTAGCCTTGTGGGGTGAGTTGGCTGCTTCTCAATGGGAATATGGCAGTGCTGCTGCAGATGGCTGGAGGATGAACCCTGAGGGCCATTCCGTGGGTGCTGAAGAAGCTCAGCAGCTGCAAGGCCATGGCTTCCTCTTCTTCTTACACACTTGTTCATGGGAGAAAAGATGAGAAAGGAAAGGAGAAAGCAAAGGGAGAAGATTGTAGAGTGCATCATTCCTAGGGGGACCATACTTACGCCACATGTAAGATTAGGCAGCAAGGCAGGTGTGAAGAGTTGCCTGCCTAGTCCAGCTGTCATCCTGAGAACACAGGTGTCCCCAGTTGTGCTGGTACAACTTTTCTCTGGTTCTCAACCAGTCAATACAGACAGATGAAAATTAACCCTAAAAAAGCTTTAGGAAAGGAGGATCGTTTCCTCCAGCTCAGGGGTGGCACTCCAGTCTCTCATTAAGTTGAAGGAGCAATATAATGTGGCCGTGGATAGGAAAAAATGGCTAAGGATTTCCTTACACAGGGAATGATGGATCTCTGCTGTAGTGGAACTGCAGCTGGATAGTGTTACTATTCTTCTTGTGAAATTTAATTTTATACACACTTCACTTTTGGAATTATTCTGCATTTTAGTTTTGTTGAACCTTGTTTGTTGTTTTTTTAGCATTTAAAAGAAAGCATTTGTTTATTTTTGGCACAGCTGACTGTGGGCTTGTTTAGCTTTCTTTATCACATATTTTGCCAGTTTAATAAAACTCAGTGTTTGTTGAACAGTTTATTGCTGTAAATGCAATTGCAATGAAACAGAAAGCCTCAAGGCATTACTGAAATATTGCAAACCACCAAGCAATATATACAAGCCTTAGAAAAACTGTTCCGTGATCTCAAAATTGGAGGCAGAAAAAGCTCCAATTAAATCAATACTTAATTCAGCAGAAAAATCAATGTTTTATACACTACCAGATTTAGAATTTTTTCAGGGATAACATCTGTCCTACAGATCAGAATCTTCTTCAGTGCAGTATTGCAGCAGTAGGAGCACTTCCAGTTTGCAGAATAGCACAAGTTAGCAGGTGATTTCTTGAAAGGATAACTATGTGTGGCATGAATGTGAGCACATACATACTCTGAGTGCCATATGGGCTATATTTATTTGGTGTATATATGCAGAGGAGAAAGAAGTATATGTGTTACATTTCATATAATAAAACAGGTGGTGTTTCTTTTTGTAAAACACTTTTTGTCTTTGTCATGCTTTTCTGTGAAGGCAGAAAAAATAAGCAGGAAAAAAATGTGAAGAATTTCAATAACAAAAGGTGCTATAAAAATGCTATTGACCATAAAGTGTTCAAAATAATTGTAATTATTTTACACTAAATTTCCAGTGTGACTTTCCTAATTTTCCTAGTCTTTTGGACTGGGACCTCCACTGCCTTTGGGAATCCTTTCCAGATTTTCAGATCAGCTAATGAGTTCATCAGTATTCAGGTATTATTGTGATAATAAACAAAATTACCTCCAGCTTCTCATATGCTGTAAATGGGTAAAGCAGATCATCATCATCATATGTATAGTATTTATAATATTGGCATTTGAGTGACTCTGGAAACCATGCCTTCTTGCCTCCAGCTTTCCTTGTGAATTATCCACCACCATTCTGCAACTGTTACAAGATGTAATAGTGTGCACTGGGTGGATGTGCATATTTGGCTTTTTAAGTCCTGGCAGTAGAAGCTAGATGGAATTCCTCAAAATAACAGCAGGCACCTGCACCCTATTGAGAATGTTATTAGTGGGAGAGAATAAAGATCTCAGCTTGTCCAAGGATCTGTGTGTCTTATCTGCTCCAAACACAGATGTGGCATATCTTGCTAATGCCTCCCAGGCTGATGCTCATTAGCTTTCTTCCTGGTCCTCAGAGCTCTTAAGCAACCTCTTATGGCTCACTTACATGCTGACTTCCTTGGTGAAAGGGCAAATAATGAGTAATT